ATCTTACTCCCCCTTCCCCCTTCACTTCCCCCTGCATTTTACTCTCCCTTCCCCCCTTCACTTCACCCTGCATCTTCTCTCCCTTCCCTCCCCTTCACGTTCACCCTGATTTACTCTTTTCCTTCCTCCCTTCAGTTCACCCTGCATCTTACTCCCCCCTTCCCCCCCTTCACGTTCCCCCTGCTCTTACCTCCCTTCCCCCCCTTCACGTTCACCCGCATCTTACTCCCCCTTCCCCCCCTTCACGTTCACCCTCATCTTACTCCCCTTCCTCCCCTTCCGTTCACCCTGCATATTACTTCCCTTTCCCCCCCTTCACTTTCACCCTGCATATTACTCTCCTTCCTCCCCTTCACTTTCCCCCTGCATCTTACCTCCCTTCCCTCCCCTTCACTTTTCACCCTGCATCTTACTCCCCCTTCCCCCCCTTCACGTTCCCCCCGCATTTACTCCCCCTTCCCCCCCTTCACGTTCACCCTGCATCTTACTCCCCCTTCCTCCCCTTCAAGTTCACCCTGCATCTTACTCTCCCTTCCTCCTGGGAATTTCCCCAAGATATTCATATTTCCTCCTCCTCCCCTCTAGTACAAAAATTATTGACTACCCAATTTTAAGCCTTAAAAGGCTCACCATCCCACGCTGTTTAGTGTTCACTGAGGGTTTTTCAAAACCCCTTTGAGGGTAAGAAAAGATAAGAAAAAATTTCGTTCGGATTTTTAACCCGGGGGGTTAGCCACCCGGATAACCCAAAAGAAAGTCAGTGCGTATCGGGGATTTAACTTTTTTCCCTTTTTGGGCCCTTAATCTTGCCCCCCCAGGGATGCGACCCCACCATCGACTAACACCCAGGACCTATTTGCTGCTAGGTGAACAGGACAACAGGTGTAAGGAAACGTGTCGAAATGTTTCCACCCCCCGGAATCGAACCCGGGGCCCTCCGGGTGAAGGGGGAGTTTTAGCCACCGGGGCCCCCGGGCCTGGAATGTGCTGGCCCCCTAAAAGATAAGCAAGGCTTATACTAGACTTACCCGGGTTTGAATGTCGTAAACTCACTTTATGATACACATTACGTCAATCCGCCTCTTGCTTCCCCCTTCCCCTCCTTCCTATCCTTTTCCATTTTTTTCCTCCTTTCCTTATCCTTTCCTTCCATCTTACGAAGCTCTGTCGTCTTCGATTCGATTGATAGTATTCGGAACGAAGTGTATTGCATTACTAAAAAATTTGCTTCCTCATCCCCTTGTCCTTGGAGCCACTTTTATTACATAAATTCATTAAGCAAAAGGATTTTTTTTTTTCTGGTTCCCGGTCAGTTTATGTTTATGCAAAGATAAACAGTCATCGCTCGGTCAAATATTCTTGTCCTGACTTTTCCCCAGCTATACTTATCCGAATTTTTTTAATGATCTCTCAAGAGCCTTGTACCACTGGCAAACACTGGTTCAAGCTGAACCCCAACAAACTCTTTTTTATCAGACTACGTTTAAGATTCTGGCCCCCTTTGCCCACTGCTGCATTTTTCGAAGATGCCCTCAAGTTTGCTGTCACTCACGGGACTCCAGATGATCTCTCGGGGAGGACGTTAGGGCCCTACGTAAAATCCACCATGTCTTAATAGACTGTCCCCGTTAATAGTAGGCATACGAATTTACAAATTTGGACATATACATGCTCCTAAATATTGCTCTTTTCTCTACCTGACATCCCCCTTAAAGTCCTGTCTTTGGGTCATACCTCTGCGGATTTTTTTAACTTTTTATTCTTTTACTCTTCACAACCAGTACCTTCACTAACCACCACAATAACAAAAATAATAATAATAACGATAACAACAACAACAACAACAACAACAAAAACAAGGCCTATATGGCAGAAGTACCTGGAATCTTCATGTAAAAATTCTTCAGCGGAGAACTGATAAGAGACTTCTCTTCCTCCCTCCTTCCTCACTCTCCCTCCCTCCCCACACTCTCCCTCCCTCCCACACCATCCCTCCCATCCTTGCTCTTTCCCCTTGTTTTATAAAACCTTCAACAATAGCGTCATTATGCATTTCCAGTCTCATAATGACTCTACATTATTATCTACTAATGTATATATGTTGTTAGATATACGTATAATGATATCCAAATTTCTCTTCTACTCTCTCTCTCTCTCTCCCTCCCCCTCCCCCCTGTGTATAATTTCTCTTGATTTAGAAAGACATATTTATTTGAAAAACGTTTCGGTCCTGGGCCTTAACCTCTTCTAACATACAGAAGTTAAAAAAAACAGTGTATATAGCGGTTTCTATCACCAAGGTTTACATCAAAATATTCTCTTGTTCCAGCTCTGGGGTGACGGAGCTATCTCAAAAAAAAAAAAATTCCATATCTCCTGTGTATTAGATAGTCCACCTGACAGATGCTGTCAAGTGATAGTAACTGCAGCTCTGTTGGAAAGATAGTAACTGCAGCTCTGCTGGAAACATAGTAACTGCAACTCTGCTTGAAGGATAGTGACTGCAACTCTGCTTGAAGGATAGTGACCGCAGCTCTGCTGGAAGGATGGTAACTGCAGTTCTGCTGGAAGGATAGTAACTGCAGCTCTGCTGGAAGGATAGTAATTGCAGCTCTGCTGCAAGTTGTTAGGTAAGACACATATGCAACAGTTAGACAACTTTATTCCGAAACGTTTCGCCTACACAGTAGGCTTCTTCAGTCGAATACAGAAGTAGGCAGGAACAGTAGAGATGTGAAGACGATGTAATCAGTCCATCACCCTTAAAGTCGTAGAATTTGAGGTTGTCAGTCCCTCGGCCTGGAGAAGTTCAGTTCCATAGTCAGGAACTATCTGAAGATCAAGCGACAGTGCGGAGACTTAAATACTGTCGGAAGGAGAGGTGCAGGGTAGTAGTAGTAGTAGTAATAGTAGTAGTGAGAGGCAACTGAGAGGTCATGTCCCTCTCAGATCCAACCCTTCTCACTTGAAAAGCTTGTTCAAGGTGTTTTCTGTACCAAGATGCCACGTGTTGCAGGTCTGACAAGATGAACATCAAAATGGTATACAATACCGACAGGTTTTAGGTAAGACACATATGCAACAGTTAGATAACTTTATTCCGAAACGTTTCGCCTACACAGTAGGCTTCTTCAGTCGAATACAGAAAGTAGGCCTACTGTGTAGGCGAAACGTTTCGGAATAAAGTTGTCTAACTGTTGCATATGTGTCTTACCTAACAACCTGTCGGTATTGTATACCATTTTGATTTCATCTTGTCAGACACTGCAACACGTGGCATCTTGGTACAGAAAACACCTTGAACAAGCTTTTCAAGTGAGAAGGGTTGGATCTGAGAGGGACATGACCTCTCAGTTGCCTCTCACTACTACTATTACTACTACTACTACTACCCTGCACCTCTCCTTCCGACAGTATTTAAGTCTCCGCACTGTCGCTTGATCTTCAGATAGTTCCTGACTATGGAACTGAACTTCTCCAGGCCGAGGGACTGACAACCTCAAATTCTACGACTTTAAGGGTGATGGACTGATTACATCGTCTTCACATCTCTACTGTTCCTGCCTACTTTCTGTATTCGACTGAAGAAGCCTACTGTGTAGGCGAAACGTTTCGGAATAAAGTTGTCTAACTGTTGCATATGTGTCTTACCTAACAACCTGTCGGTATTGTATACCATTTTGATGTTCAGCTCTGCTGCAGTTACTGTCCTGAAGCTGGCGTAGCAGATGAACATTTAATGGAATACAGGCTGACACTGTTGAAGTCTCCCAGCCCAGGCTGACACTACTAAAGTCTCCGAGCCCAGGCTGACACTACTGAAATCTCCCAGCTTAGTCTGACACTACTGAAGTCTCCCAGCTTAGGCTGACACTACTGAAGTCTTCCAGCTCAGATTGGCACTGCTGAAGTCTCCCAATTCAGGTTGGTATTGCTGAAGTCTCCCAACTCAAGCTGACACTACTGGAGTCTCCCAGCTCAGACTGACGCACACGGTCTAAACCCTGCATGACATACAATACAACATGACAGTTCTCTATCCTGGCACTTGTGGCTGACGTTTCTAGGCTGAGACTTATGGCTAACGTTTCTAGGCTGACACCTTTGGACAACGTTGTTTGGCTGACAACTCTGGTGTCAGGAGACTTTCTCACAATTTTATAATTCCTGAGACTTAATAACCTATTTACTGCTGGGTAAACAGGGCAGCAGGTGTAAGGGGACTAACATCTGGGTTCCTAATTACTGTTGGGTAAACAAGGGCAGCAGGTGCAAGGGGACTAACATCTGGGTTCCTAATTACTGTTGGGTAAACAAGGGCAGCAGGTGTAACGGGACTAACACCGAAAGATGTTAGTCCCTTACACCTGCATGGTGTCATGAAATAAGGAAGACGACACCAGTGGTGTGACAGGTCTGGTCCGAGACAGTGGTGTGATTGTCAGAGTTTCCAACCACCTGAAACAGTCAAAGAAAATGGGCAAGTTTCTGGTGACTCATAGAGAATGGTGAGCCATTCTCTGTAAACCACCACAAACTTACCCATTTTCTTCGACTTTCTGGTGGTGGGACACTCTGGCAAACACACCAATGGCTCGGACTACAACATAAATACATAGATAGATTTTGTTCAGATTTTTAACCCCGGAGGGTTAGCTACCCAGGATAACCCAAGAAGGCAGTGCGTCATCGAGGGACTGTCTGCTTTATTTTCATTGGGGTCCTCAATCTTTTCCCCCATGATGCGACCCACACCATCGACTAACACCCAGGTACCTACTTTGCTAGGTGAACAAGACAACAGGTTTAAGGTAACGCGTCGAATGTTTCCACCTCGCCGGGAATCGTACTGGGACCCTCTGGATCTGGATGAATGGAAAAAGTGTTGTGTACTTTGATACAGAGTGTGCAGGTTTGAGTCCGGCTGTAGACTGAGAAATAATATTTGTTAAAAAGCTTGCCCGTTTGTGAATTGTTAGCATGGTGACTTGTCAACTCACCATCAATGTCGATTTCGTCAAGCATGACCCTCAGTTCCTCCTCAGTGGCAAACTGACCCAAGTTCCTCATAAACTGACCCAGTTCTTGCTTAGTAATCGTTCCATCACCGTCCTTGTCGAAGAGTCGGAACGCCTCCCTCAGTTCTGTCAACAATAGAATAGCAGTTACCAACAGATGATAGATAGTATGATTACTATTACAATTTATGGGAAAGTGTAAGGCAGTAAGATGGCTGTTCACATCTCTGGGTGGCATTTAGTGGATCTAAGATTGAGCCTTGACCAGTCCCTGTCCTGGAAGACCTACCATCCCATTTCAGTCCATCCTGAACCATTATCAGGTTCACTTGCTACTTGATAATGGTTCATGATGAACCAAAACTCGGTCCAGTTTTTATTTAAAACTTGTGAGTTAGTTCTGAACTGTTCCAGTCACAGTATTTGGATATTATTAATTTAAATCTACACATGACCATTCAGATATCTACTTCAACTTCCTACAATGACTGCACAAACACATAGAACGTAACCCAACTGTCCCATATGTTATTAACTTCACATAGTGAATCCTCGCAATACAAAGCAGTTTTCTGAAACATAATTAGTAAGTGAGGAACTAGACACATGCTACTGCATTCGTGTCTGTTGCAATCCTTTATTGACACCGTTTCGCCCATGAGGTGGACCTTTTACAAGTGACAGTGTTCTCAATAATGAATTGGACTTTACTTTCTGTCTTTTATACTATCATGTCGATACTTTATACCATTTCTGTTCATAAGACGTCTTATGAAAGTCTACTGTATTTAATTAAGATGAGTGGTTATTGTGAAGGCAAAGTTGTGTATAACTGTAGACTTTCTGAATGCACAACTGTCACTCATCTCTAGACAAACATTGTATCATGCTAAAATAAAATTATTATTATTATTATTATTATTATTATTAGTATTAGTATTAGTATTAGTATTAAAGTTACACATGATTATTCAACTAAGACTAAACCAAGACACCAACTAAGATAATTTACCTCATTGCATATCTTTTATTTTCTATATGATCTAGACACATAGAGTTTATAATATATATCAATGGTATTTAGTACCAACAAGAGGATGAATTAGACACATGTTCAACATCTATGTATCTTTATTTTGTGGATGTTTTGCCACCCAGTGGCTTTATCAGTACTCTGCCTGGATATGGTGTAAAGACTGTAGATATAAAGCTAAAGCTCCTGGTTCACACACGGAGGGCCCGGGTTCGATTCCTGGCGGGTGGAAACATTTCGACACGTTTCCTTACACCTGTTGTTGTCCTGTTCACCTAGCAGCAAATAGGTACCTGGGTGTTAGTCGACTGGTGTGGGTTGCATCCTGGGGGACAAGATTAAGGACCCCAATGGAAATAAGTTAGACAGTCCTCGATGACGCACTGACTTTCTTGGGTTATCCTGGGTGGCTAACCCTCCGGGGTTAAAAATCCGAACGAAATCTTATCTTATCTTATCTTAAGACAGTGGAAGACGAGGTTATCAGTCCCTCAGCCTAAGAACAGGTGATTCTTGTAGAATCTGAAGCATAGGCTGGTAGGTATAATATTTGTCAGGAAACAGGACAAGTGATTCCTGACGCGGGTATAAGTCATGTGATGACCCACTCTTAGTCATCTGACGGAGGCCTTCCTCTGGCTTACCGGTCCACCTCTCTAAAACTCATATTATACTATTAAAGTATAACATAGTATGCACAGGCAGGAAGATTGGTGCTTATATACTGTCGTCAAGTGAGATGCAGGAGACCAAGATATTGCCACTGGTAGCTGATACCTGGAGATACCTGGAGAGGGTTCCGGGGGTCAACACCCCGCGGCCTGCTCCGTAACCAGGCCAGACCTCATGGTGGATCAGTGCCTGATAAACCAGGCTGTTACTGTTGGCCGCACGCAACCCGAAGTACGAACCATAGCCCGGCTGGTCAGGTACTGACTTTAGGTGCCTGTCCAGCGCTTTCTTGAAGACAGCCAGGAGTCTATTGGTAATCCCACTTATGTATGCTGGAAGGCAGTTGAACAGTCTTGGGCCCCCTGTGGTGATGTCCTCTGTAGCACCAAAAGCTCCAGCTGCGGGTCATCATATGAGTGAGTCCAGCGTCAGGAAACACTTTTCCTGTTTCCTGACAAACCTTACCTAACCTAACCTGACAAACCTTACCTAACCTAACCTGACAAACCTTACCTAACCTAACCTGACAAACCTTACCTAACCTAACCTGGAGAGTTTACCTGGAGAGAGTTCCGGGGGTCAACGCCCCCGCGGCCCGGTCTGTGACCAGGCCTCCTGGTGGATCAGAGCCTGATTAACCAGGCTGTTACTGCTGGCTGCACGCAAACCAACGTACGAGCCACAGCCCGGCTGGTCAGGAACCGACTTTAGGTGTTTGTCCAGTGCCAGCTTGAAGACTGCCAGGGGTCTGTTGGTAATCCCCCTTATGTATGCTGGGAGGCAGTTGAACAGTCTCGGGCCCCTGACACATTGTATGGTCTCTTAACGTGCTCGTGACACCCCTGCTTTTCATTGGGGGGAGGGTGCATCGTCTGCCAAGTCTTTTGCTTTCGTAGTGAGTGATTTTCGTGTGCAAGTTCGGTACTAGTCCCTCTAGGATTTTCCAGGTGTATATAATCATGTATCTCTCCCGCCTGTGTTCCAGGGAATACAGGTTTAGGAACCTCAAGCGCTCCCAGTAATTGAGGTGTTTTATTTCCGTTATGCGCGCCATGAAGGTTCTCTGTACATTTTCTAGGTCAGCAATTTCACCTGCCTTGAAAGGTGCAGTTAGTGTGCAGCAATATTCCAGCCTAGATAGACCAAGTGACCTGAAGAGTGTCATCATGGGCTTGCCTCCTAGTTTTGAAGGTTCTCATTTTCCTCCTGTCTTTTTTCTAGCAGATGCGATTGATAAAATGTTATGGTCCTTGAAGGTGAGATCCTCCGACATGATCACTCCCAGGTCTTTGACGTTGGTGTTTCGCTCTATTTTGTGGCCAGAATTTGTTTTGTACTCTGATGAAGATTTAATTTCCTCATGTTTTACCATATCTGAGTAAATTGAAATTTTCATCGTTGAACTTCATATTGTTTTCTGCAGCCCACTGAAAGATTTGGTTGAGTCTGCTGGAGCCTTGCAGTGTCTGCAATGGAAGACCCCTGTCATGCAGATTCGGGTGTCATCTGCAAAGGAAGACACGGTGCTGTGGCTGACATCCTTGTCTATGTCGGATTTTGAGGATGAGGAACAAGATGGGAGCGAAATACTGTGCCTTGTGGAACAGAGCTTTTCACCGTAGCTGCCTCGGACTTTACCCTGTTGACGGGCTACTCTCTGTGTTCTGTTAAAGAGGAAATTATAGATCCATCGACCGACTTTTCCCGTTATTCCTTTAGCACGCCCTTTTGTGCGTTATTACGCCATGGTCACACTTGTCGAAGGCTTTTGCAAAGTCTGTATATTGATAAATTAGACACATGTGCAACTCTTGGGTATCTTTATTGAGGAAAAGTTTCGACCACACAGTGGCTTTATCAGTCCATTTCAAAGGAGAATCTTGAAGAATAGGAGAGAATGAGGTAATCAGTCCCTCAACCTTGAGTCGATGTGGTCAGTCCATCAATCTTGAATAGAATACGGCAAGATTGATGGACTGACCACATCGACTCAAGGTTGAGGGACTGATTACCTCATTCTCCTCCTATTCTTCAAGATTCTCCTTTGTATGGACTGATGAAGCCACTGTGTGGCGAAACGTTTCCTCAATAAAGATACCCAAGAGTTGCACATGTGTCTAATTTATCAACATGTCGGTTCTCTGAACCATTCATTACAAAGTCTGTATATATTACATCTGCATTATTTTTGTCTTCTAGTGCATCTAGGACCTTGTCGTAGTGATCCAATAGTTGAGACAGACAGGAGCGACCTGTTCTAAACCCATGTTGCCCTGGGTTGTGTAACTGATGGGTTTCTAGATGGGTGGTGATCTTGCTTCTTAGGACCCTTTCAAAGATTTTTATGATATGGGATGTTAGTGCTATCGGTCTGTAGTTCTTTGCTGTTGCTTTACTGCCCCCTTTGTGGAGTGGGGCTATGTCTGTTGTTTTTAGTAACTGTGGGACGACCCCCGTGTCCATGCTCCCTCTCCATAGGATGGAAAAGGCTCGTGATAGGGGCTTCTTGCAGTTCTTGATGAACACGGAGTTCCATGAGTCTGGCCCTGGGGCAGAGTGCATAGGCATGTCATTTATCGCCTGTTCGAAGTCATTTGGCGTCAGGATAACATCGGATAGGCTTGTGTTAACCAAATTCTGAGGCTCTCTCATAAAAAATTAATTTTGATCTTCGACTCTCAGTCTGGTTAGCGGCTTGCTAAAAACTGAGTCATATTGGGACTTGAGTAGCTCACTCATTTCCTTGCTGTCATCAGTGTAGGACCCATCTTGTTTAAGTAGGGGCCCAATACTGGACGTTGTTCTCGACTTTGATTTGGCATAGGAGAAGAAATACTAAAATACCTAAATCTGCTACATCGTGGAATCTTGGTTAACAAACAGGTCCTTTGGGATATAAATTGAATACTATACCATCTCAGTTGCCAAATTTAGATGAAAAAAAAAATTGAACACGAAAAACTGGGCTATAGACTTACAATTTTGGAGATTTTTTTGTGCAGGTTCTCAGTATTAGTTTAAATGATACATGTAATATAGTGCCAGTGAGCCAGGAGACAGTGCCTGCCCTCAGGCACTAATATAGTGCCAGTAAGTCAGGAGACTGTGCCTGCCCTCAGGCACTAATATAGTGCCAGTGAGCCAGGAAACAGTGCCTGCCCTCAGGCACTAATATAGTGCCAGTAAGTCAGAGACTGTGCCTGCCCTCAGGCACTAATATAGTGCCAGTGAGCCAGGAAACAGTGCCTGCCCTCAGGCACTAATATAGTGCCAGTAAGTCAGGAGACTGTGCATGCCCTCAGGCACTAATATAGTGCGAGTGAGCCAGGAAACAGTGCCTGACCTCAGGCACTAATATAGTGCCAGTGAGCCAGGAAACAGTGCCTGCCCTCAGGCACTAATATAGTGCCAGTGAGCCAGGAAACAGTGCCTGCCCTCAGGCACTAATATAGTGCCAGTGAGCCAGGAGACAGTGCCTGCCCTCAGGCACTAATATAGTGACAGTGAGCCAGGAGACAGTGCCTGCCCTCAGGCACTAATACAGTGCCAGTGAGTCAAGAGACAGTGCCTGCCTTCAGGCACTAATATAGTGCCAGTAAGTCAGGAGACAGT